TCCTATAACGAAATTAACACAAATTTATCAGTTACATTCCACAACTTATTTTTTCATCAATGTGACATGAAATTAATATCTTACTATTATTGGAAAAATTCATTGATAAAATTTTAATATTTTTTTCATTAGAAAATAAATTAGCTATTTTTATTTTTTTTCAATTAACCAGATATTAAGAGAATATGATTAACCATGTAAAGCCAACATTAATGAAATAGCACAAAATGCAATTTTCCTTATTTAATTAACTGATAACCAACAATCTATTCATTTTTTAACTCTAATTTATTGTTTATGGAAATAAACTCAAATGGATTGCTTCTTATAAGGAGGTTTGTTGAAAGTATAATCGTTCTTGATTGAATCTTTGAATCGGATTAAAACGGTAATTATTTCTATTTACTAATTTTTTCCAAATTCAAAATAAATATTTTAGAATTATCAATCTACCAAATAAGTAGATTCTAATATAAGCTAAATTATTATTACCAGATAGGTTAACACAAATATTTATTGTGAAATTCAGTAATATATTTAGTATTAAATTTCCAGATATGAAAGAATTCTTGTTCACCCTTTGCGATAAAATATTGATTATTAAGGTGAATTAAAAAATAGGGATGGAAGTCTTTAACCCTTCATTAATACATCAAGCTTTTTTAATTCAACCAAATCCCATCTAATTATTTCAACCGATGATCCTGTTACCATTTGGAAACCATCTGAGGAATACATACTTTATTAGCAGAATAAGAATGACCATCCATTTCAAATTATTACTGTTTTAAGGTTTTTAAATCCCATAACTTTATGATATTATAACTATTTTAAACTAATATTGCTCTACTTGAAATTGTAAGCATATCTATTCTTGCAGTATCCGTTTTAAAGAAAGAGAGCTATTTACAAGATTTAGTATCCCATAATTTAATTCTTAAATCTAAATAACTTGTAACAAAATTTAATTCATCGTAAGAGAAAATGAATCTATACACTTGAATTTTTAATCAAGTACCTCTTCAAAACAAGAAATTACTTTTTAAGTTTCAAGTTCAATTAATACTAATTTTTGTTCCACCAAATCAAATTATTGATACTTGTTTTTACTTAGAATTATCATTGTTTCTTGCTAATTTAATGCACAGAATTTTGAATTAAACTTATTAAAATTTATTTATTTAAAATCTTATTAAAACAAATTTCTATTTGAAAATATATCAAATTGGCTGTTAAAACTGACAAAATATTGCTATCTTATGAAAAATTTTAAAAATAATAGCCAATATGATAATAATATTCTATTAATTAGAATATTTTTTCAACTGGAATAGTATTTTCAAGTGATATAAATTAAATATTTTATCCTATTCCCATTCCTATAAATTTTTCTTCTGAATCAAAAATTACATCTCTTGATATTTCTCTATTATCAAATATTAATAATTCAATTCACTATTATTTTAACATGTTTACCAAAGCTAGCTATGCAATTTTAACTAAATATACAAATTTATAATTTTTTTTCTAAAAAAATCATTTTCAAAGTAAGATCCGGTAATTAATTAATTGATGATATTTTTGTTTATTAAAGATCTTTTATATCATATAAAACTAGTTATCCACTTAAAACAATTCCTAATTATTCTTTCCCAATAAAACAAATCGATAAACAACATTTACTCACTTAAAAATTCTACAATATTTAACTTGTTATAATATCTTAGATGAATGCTCCCTTATTAGTTGCAAAAGCTAAGAGTGAGGAATCAGGGGAAAATTATAAGTCTTTGATATAATTTTTCTCTTCAAAATGAATATTAGTGTTATTATTGTGATTTTCAATAACTATAATCTCTATTCTTTTAAAACTCTATTGGTGAGAGCGATAATTTTATTATTTTAAGATACTGAAATACAATAGGCATCCACTGAAAAGGGAAAACTTTTTTTTTTAAGGATTATTCAATTTATATTTCCAGTTGATAAACATTAAATCTAATATGAGCAATAATATCTTAACTATTCTAATAATACACTTTATAAAGTCATCAATCTTGATTTATTTATCAATATCCAATCATTATTGATTTATTTTCCATATTCTAAGAATTCTATCCTAGCTAAAGGATATTATTATCTCTCCATTATCAAAAAAAATAATATTAGTAAATTATGCTTCAATAGCATAACTTGAAATCAAATTAAATTCAGCAAAATTCCAAAATTTTACCTCTTTAGAAGTTGAGCCATATAATGATACCAAGATCTATTTATTTGGACAATAAATAATTTTTTGAGCTCCAAGTTGCTGTTATAATGTCATTTAAATATTGGTTTATCCAAGTTAGTCATACTCCAAAAAATAATTGGTTTATCTAAACTGGAAGTTGCCGTTTGCTATCCATCAGATGAAAATGCAAGATCTAAATCTTGATCTAAGTGAGTTGTCAATTTAACTATTAATTATAAATTTAGTAAATTCCAGAGACAAATAATATTATTCAAGCTACCTGAAACTAAAACTAAATTATCATTTCTGAATTTTAAAGTTGAAATTTTTTTTGAATGTTCTTTAAGAATTGAGAGCAATTTAATTTAGAATAAATTTTTAATGTCCCATATACTTATTTATTAATTTGTACTACTTGCTAAAATTTAACAATCTAAATCTATTTGATGTAATGTATGTAATCTAAAAAAATCTTATTGATAGGGTAACTTTTGAACTTCATATATTTTAAATGAAGAGCAAGTATTCAAAGCAAAGAACTTACCATTATTTGAATAAGCTACCTATGTTACACTTTATTATGAATGAAAAAAATATAATAGTTAAACTTGATTAAGATTCTAAATATTCCAAAATTCTAATTTCTCACCCTAACATCCAACAGCTAATACTTAATTATCTCTTAAAATGCTATTCCAAATGCTTAATTATTTCGTTCTGGAAGTTCCAAGATTTATTAAACATCTGAAATATTTTAAGCATTCCAAATTGTAATTTTAGTGTCACCTGTATCTAACAGTTGGTATTGGGCGAAATTGCTATATTTGTAATAATTTTTTCATTCTTTTTTTAGATACATATTGTTATTAATATGTTGATAATTTTACTAGATTTTTGATTAAGAAAAAGAGTATAATAGCATTTTCTTTGAAGACAACTAAATATTTATCATTTGGGTTTATTTTGATACCTCGATTGTCTTTAAAAAAATTACTTGTTAATGGGATATATTTTAATTCTTTTAAATCAATTGTATTTCTTAATCAGCTGACAATTCTGATTTAATAATCACTCCTTCTTCACTGCCTGATATTAAAAATTTTCCACTATCATCACTAAAATCAAGAAACCTGATGGTTTATTCATGAACAAGCAACGATGGTTTTTCTTTACAAATCAAATTTTTCCAAGTAGCCTTTTCTATTGTTGCCCAATTAAAATTACAAGAATCAATAGATATATTATTAAGATTTGCTCAAATTGCATTGATAGAAACTAAGTCCATCCAATTTAGTATCTTCAATACATAAATTACTTAGATCAATATTATCAAAATTCTCTCTTAAAGAACTTAGGATATAAATTGAATTTGATGCTGATCTAATAAGATTAAATTGAACATATTTCTTTGATAATTATGCAATTTAAATTAATTTCTTCTTATATCGTCTATTTATTTAATTTTAGGTTTTAAAAATTCAAATGTCCCAGAGTAATGCTCTTTTGATAAATTGTTTACATACTCTATAGAATCAGCTATAGAAAATGACTCAAAAAAGTTTTAACTGTCTAAATCTTCTAAAATTTAAATAAATAATTATTTTATTTCAAGTTCATCCATCATTTTCATTTTTATTTCATTTTCAATCTCAAAACTAGAATCTTAATTTATAATAAGCTTTACTGTTTATTATAACTAATGTTTAAAGGTTTAAATCATAATGTTCTCTATTTGTATGGTACAGATTTGGTCCAATACAGTCAAATTTCATCTCATCGTAACTTTCTAAGATAATGACGATTCGTAATTTACCATTCACAACTTCATTTTTTAATTCTCTAATCTAATTGCTATCAAAATTGTAATTTTCAAGGGCTTATTCATGACAACCCCATATTTATTCTTCAATTTTACGTGAAGCTCGATTTTTACCTGATCCTGCTTTTCCTTTATTAACATAACATCTTTTTGCTTTTCATAATCAATCCATAAAAATTCATTCAATTCTCCTTCATAATTATTATATTAAGGTTTCATTAGAAATGTTACAAATTCCCCATGCTTGTTTTATTTTTTACTTCCAGATATGGGGTCATATTCATAAGTTTTAACTTCGAAATGAATTTAATTATACTCATTCTCATACTTTTAGCATAAAATTTTCTATTTTCGAATGGTTAGCAATTTATTTTAATTTAGTTTCTAATTCTATTTTTATTTTCATTGAGAAATTCACAAAATTCTTAAACTACTTATTCTTAAATAACTGTTTGTAACTTAATTAAAAAAGTTCCCTAACTTTATAAAAAGAAAAGTTTTCTAAAATATTTAAAGGCCCTTCACAATCAAATATATCTTTTAAATTCAATTTCAGTAGTTCATCATTATCAGATGGTTTCTTCATCTCTTTACTGAAGGAGAAGAGCTCTTTTGTTTTTCCTGTAAATTTATTTCTTAGAGTTGCTCATCTAATAGTTTTGAAATTTCTAATTTATAAATAAATCTCAACTTCTGATAATAGTTAGATATTCTTAGTTTTGATTTGTTCTGGACAATCCATGTTTTTTATTTTATCAATATCCCTACAAATAAGATTCGATATAATATTGAGAACTGATTATTCATCACCTGTGAATTCCTAATTTTTATATTTAAAAAAAAACATTATATTTTTCTTTTAATTTCAGGATGAAAGTTGTTTTTTGTTGTTTAATACAGGAATGTCATTTTTGAACATATATTGACCATTTAATTATTTATCTATAATAATTTGAAATTAGATTAACCTTATCAATTTCATATTTTGATTGATCTTTGGTGTCATCAACTTAAGTATTGTATTGATGGTAGATAGCCATTTTAGTATTACTATTAAAATTAGGAGTTTATCATAATGTTTGTCCCCAAAAAATCCTTTTAGGCTGAAATATTCTTTTGTTTTATATAATCAATACAAATAAAACAAAAAATAATAAAATTAAATAATATTTACGATTTTAAAATAAATCTTGAGCTGGCAAAAGCAGACCAAATCACTGATTATTTTTATTTAATTGGATTAATTAGGAGAGTGAAGAAACATTATAGAATTGAAGATTTTCTGATTTCTCTATTCAAAGGTGTGAATCTTTATAAATGGAAAGTCATAAAACTTTTGGGTTCAGTTAATTTCTTTTGCCATTTTACTTCCTTGAATTAAGTGATATTGAAAGAGTTTATTATAGCCTTAAAAGGTTCATAGTAATAAGATATATAAGAATAAAGTTATTTTAATACTTCCCTCATCCAAAAAATTTAGAAATAGAACAGTTAATAATTCTTCCCTTCAACTGCAAACCTCTTAAAATATCAAATTTTGACTAATTGCTATTTTTAGTTAAATTCTACCTTAAAATTAATTCAAAATACAATATGTGAGATATGAGTTAGCTTATTTTATTTGGTAATAACAAAAAATGATAAATTGCTTTTAATTTACATTTGGGTAAAATATAAAGAAAATAGATAGTGATTAAGATAATGGATATTTTGGAGCTATTTCAAATTTACAAAATTAGAAACCAAGATAAAAATAATGAATATAATTTATTACTTCGAAAAAAAGAATAAAAGCTTGCTTATTTATTATCAGAAAGTTAACAACAATGAAAAAAAAGTTGAAACCAAAATCTCAAAAAAAATTGAAATAAAATATTTCTAAGACAAACACCATCATAGAATCAATAAGAAAGAGCAACTTTACAAATTTAATAATATTAAAATTTTATCTATTTTATAAATGAATCTAATCATTTTTTAGATGATTTCGTTCCAGACTTAACTGATTTAGCAACAGGATTTGATTTTTATGATTGTGAATCTTTAGGAGCTTATTAAGACTATTATTATTATTATGAAGATTGCTGAGAATCATTTTATTTTTTGATATTTTATACAGTGGGTAACTCTTGTTGTGCTTTGGCATTAATTACGGATTCAGGCATTTTCCAAATAAAAATGGCTCCTTCTGCCCCAACAGATATAATGGATTTTTAATCTGGACTAATGGTAATCTAAGAGATTAGAAAAATGCTACCCTTGTGATTGTACCAGAATGACCTTATCCTTTGAAGTAGCAGATTCCTTCATCATAACCCCAAAGTTTGACTTCTTTGTCTTCACCTCCAGAAACAAAGTGCTCTCCTTCTTTAGTAATTGCAAGAGCATTGACTTCTCCTTCTTCTGAACCATCCAGCATTCTGATAGCTTAACCATCAAATGTTTCCCAATAAGTAATCTTAAAATTTTAATTAAAACTTTACTTTTCTGTCACTACCTGTAGTTAACAATTAACTTTCTTCAGGATGATATAGGACCATTTTAAATAAAGTACTTTCGAATAAACACATTACTCTGGTGAATGATTTGAGATCCCAAATAATACAAGAACCATCGGCACTAGCACTTACAGCTTATTCATTATTTCTTCTAACTTGAATCGACCATACTCGTCCTCTGTGTTCTTTCATAGATGATTTCATAACTTAAGTTTGCTTGCCTATTTCCCAAACTCTGACTTCTCCTTCAGATCCTCCTGAGATAATTCTTTGGCAATCAGATGTGCATGTTAAAGATGTACAACCATGAATATGTGCATCATTGATCACATACATCAATCTACCTGATTGAGGTAAAAATGCTCTGATTTTTCCATCACTCCATCCACTTACTATACTTTTTCCATCATTCATAAATGCAACAGCCCAACATTCTAAATTAGGTACTTAGATTCTAAGCAATTCTTATCTATTTTTTGCATTCCAAACTCGGATGTCATTTAATGAACTTGTAGCAAAAACATCAGAATAGTTGTGAGGAAAAGCAACATCATTAATCCTTTCATAATGGCAAGTGTTTCTAAGCTCAGGTAATAATTTCTCAGTGTCCAACCAATAAATATTACTTTAACTTGTTCCTGTGAAAAAATGAGTATAATCATTTGTAAATGTTATCGAAGTAACTCCTCCTAAAAGTTCACTGCTTGCAACTATTTGCATTGTTTAAAATGACACTTTTGCTATCACTCCATCACCAGCGCCAACAATAATATCACCATTAGGTAATAAACCTAAACAATTTACTCCTTGACTAAAAAGCTTTTTAACAGGGGCTAATCTTTTATATATAGCCATATCCATTTAAATTTCAAAAACGTCTCCTGTTTTTGTACCACAATAACAATATTTATCATTTTTATCAATCGCAACACAAGTGAATGTACGCTTCACGTTGCCGAAATTTACATCTACAGATTAGATCTTTTATTAATAGGATTATTGAATACCTTCTTATTTTATTTATCAATTGTTAAAATTTAAACTCCAGTATTTAATACTGCTATCATTTTTTCATCTGATTAGTTATAAAATTAGACTTAGTTTACTGGATCTCTATTTGGAGTTCCATACAAGGCCTTTCCTGCTTTAATGTCCCAAACAATCAACATATTTTTATCATCAATTCCTCCTAAAGAGGCTAAGTATAATTCATTATAGGAAAAACTGAGCGATTGAATCAAAACTTTATGTAATTTTAACCTGTGAATCATGCTTCTCTCCTTAAAATCCCAAATAATAATGTCAGCTTAGAATCCCATATAAGTCCTTTATCCAGAAGCTACATAATCACCTGAGCGAGAAACTGTTATCACAGAAATTTAGTTATCGTGACCTCTAAATAATATTAATATGAGATTTATACCTTAGAAATGTTTAAGCTCTGCTGATTATATGCCTAACAACTATAGTCGAACCCAAAGGATAGATTATATGCTTATTATGATTACTTAAACAATACCTCATTATCTGGATGTAAAATCAACCCTTAAGTAATTTTCCCTGGAATGATAATTATGTCTATATACCTGTAAATCCAATAACTGCTTGAATCTCAAGTTCTGATAACATTATTTGTAATTTTATTTTTCAAATAATATAGTTTAATATTTAATTAAAAACTGTTGTATTTTAGATATATTTATTTATAAATTTTATGAAAGTTAATTAATCAAACAGTCCAGAATTCTTCATTATCTTATTTTTCTAATCTTATTCTTATATCCCTATTTACATTTTCTACAACCTAATTAGAATAAATAAAATTTAAATACCATTTTCCATAAATTTGAAGAGAATTCATCTTAATAAAATGATTTTACATCATTTTTCTCCTTCAACAAATTGATTTTTCTGCGATCATAGACAACAGTTTAAATAATGGAATTAGATACACTATCGGCAATCATTTTCTCTTTTGCATACTGAAGTTCGCCAGATATTTTGTTGGATTTTGATGACATAAATAGATTAGCTTGTATTTAGTAAATTAAAAGAGCAAAAGCAATGAGACTCAAAAAGACAATTATTTTAAAGAGTAAAAATTTAGAGTTTTACTAATTATTCTTCAATTTGGTTGAACTGCCATCATTATTATCGTTTAAACTAAGTCTGGGAGTGGAAGTGAAAGAACTAATACTACTTTTTGGAGTTATGATATTGTTATTTAGAGTTTTAACTTCGTAAATAGTTGATTTTGCACCCCCAAATTATTGTGGAAATATGACTGAATTTAGAGCATAAGATTTTGAAGACTTTTCGTTTTATTTGGCTTAAACATTTGTGGATGTAAGTTTTCTGTTTGATATATTTGAAAGAGGTCTTAGTATTGGAGATTGACTTCGATTCATTATGAATTCAAATTTTTAATTTATTTATTTATCGTTAATGTTAAATCTAAAAAAGAGATATTATACCTATTCGTGGTTATTAGAAATTTTGCTAATTCTTTCGATTTTCTATCAAGAATACAAAGTCTTTCTTATAAATCGTAAATGGTATTATTACTCTTAAAATCACATTATGAAATTATGAAGGTTTTAGATTGAATATTTTCTTTTATGCTATAAGTTTACTATTTGATGTTTGCAGAATGAAATCACTAAGTCTGGTTGCTGTTATTTTATATTTTTTTTTGACTCATAAGTTAAACAACTACCATTTGCCAGATGGAGAAAATCCTGTAGGTTATTTATACTTAAAGGCAGGGTTACTTAATAATTACAACCATATTCCAGAAATGGAAATCTATTATCCTACATCATGAAATATTGTAGCAAATGTAAAAAAGGATTCAAGTGGCTAAAAGTAAAAGATTATGCTGAAAAAATGGATGATACTACAAAAAAAGATGTACACAGAAAAAGAAGAATTCCCTATCTCTTTCTTAGAATTGTAGTTTCATAATTCTATAAGTTTATGATAAATTTTTAGCATAAATTGATTTATATTATGCAGAGACCACAGATAATCTTTCTAAATTTTCAGTCATTATTTTGATTCATGGGTTAGCTTCACATTGTGATGGTTATTCAGTAATAGCAAGATATTTGGCTTAACATGGTCATATTGTCTTTGTTCCAGAACATATAGAGAATATTCGTAATATTTATCTAACCAATGAAGAAAATAGAGAATATAGAAAATTATAATTATAAGATAGGCAATTATTGTTTAATTATTGGGTCCAAATTCAGATCATTGTGCAAATATTTACATTAAGGATCAACAACATGCAGACTTTTCAGATATCCCTATAATTTGGAATAGTGAAAGCAGACTTTATAGCATTTCAATAAATGTTCATGAAGTTCTTTTGAGATTCGGGATGATTTTACTTTTGACAAAAATATTTTTAGAAGAATCAAAATAATATCATAAGTAGAATTAGGATGGAAATATGGAATTTAAATAAAAGATTCTATAAGAGGTAGAAAAGCAGTTTGGAAATCAGAGTCAAAATTTATTGAGATGGACAGCGATTCCAAACAAATGATTAATATAATTAGATAATACAAATTATAATCTTATGAGCAATATTGATAAACTTTTTAGAAATATAAGGCAATACGAAAAGGAACCAAAAACTGATAAATAGATAAAAATTAGGTTATTAAAAATCCAAATAGAACCTATTTTGATTACTTTTAATGAACCAACTTTGAAAAGAAAAATAACAATGTATTAATAAGGCATTTATTTATGTATTGGGTTGAATGGTGGCCAAAAAGAATCCAAAAAAGAATATAATATATTAAAAATTTCACTTGGTTGATATATATAATAGATTTAAAGAAAATAACATGATAATAAAAAAAAGAAAGAAGAAAAAATGATATAAAGAATATAAGATTATAGAAGAGATTCTTCCAATTTCAAAATTAATAAAGGTAATTGATAAATTTTAATATTTAAGAAAGTACTTAAAATAAATTAATTAGATCTTTTTAAAAATGATTTGAATTAAGCAAATTCGAAGATAAAATAGAACTTTTCACAGAACAAGATTAAATTAGTTTAAATAATTGTGATATATTTATAAATTATATTTATAAATTTAGTTAACAAACTTGATGTCGAATACAAATATGAATAAACCAATGTAATAAAGTGATGGAGATGAAATATTCTTTCATATTTAAAATAATGCAGAGCAATACAACATTTAATCAGCAGATGAAAAAAATTAAAACATTAAAATGATTCCTGATCAAGTTATAGAATCATAGACAACAAAACCAAAACCATTGACATTTGATCAAATAAAATTGGTTTCATCCACTTAAGTTAGTGGTGATGGACATGTTAAATCAGTAAGAGTGTAATGTCCATAATGCAAATAAAAAGTATTATAATTCATATTCTAGGTTGATACTGTGATTATTCGCAAGCCAGGAACTTAAACATATCTTGCATCATGTATTCTTTTGCTTTGCTCATTTGGTTTAGTATGCGTTTCTTGTTTACCTTGTATAATTGATGATTGCAAGGATGTTTTACATTCATGTCCTCAATGTAAAAGTCCATTGGGAAAGACATAATTTAAGATTTTAGATTGATTCATATATATCACACTTTATTACAATTTAATTAAAATTGAAAATAATATTTTATATATTACATATATTTTATATATAATAAAAAATTTATATGAAATAATTTCCCATATAATAAGCAAGAAATCTTGTGAATGAATTTTTTGAATTTGTTGCAAAAGCAGTAAGTCCATTTCATGTAACATCTCTTTGCAAAGAAAAACTAACTAAATCAGGATTCACAGAATTGAATGAAACAGAAAATTGGAAATTAGAAAAAGGTGGTAAGTATTTCTTCACAAGAAATCTCACTACTATTGTAGCCTTCACTGTTGGTCAATAATTTGACCCCAATAATACAGGATTTAAAATAATTGGTGCTCACACTGATAGTCCCTGTTTAAGATTAGCTCCAGTTTCTAAACTAGATTCAAATGGATTCCTACAGACTTGTGTTTCTACTTATGGTGGTGGTTTATGGCATACATGGTTTGATAGAGAATTGACTTTGGGTGGTCGAATTATTTTTTAAAAAGATAATGTCTTTTAGAGTTAGTTATTTCATTATAAATAACCTTTATTAAAGATTCCTAATTTAGCTATTCATCTAACAACTGATAGAAATAGCTTTGCTCCAAATAGTAATTATTTAATTAAAAGTTAGACGAATCAAATTTAAGGCCTGTTTTTGCATAAGAAGCATATTAAACATTGACTGGAATTGAAAAACCAAAAACTGAGGGATAAACAAGTTTTGAAAATAAACACTATAAATATTTGCTTAATTTGATAACTGAATAGACAGGCATTCCAACATCTGACATTTTAGATATTGACCTATATTTTTCAGATTGTTAACCACCTTCTTATTTTGGATTAAATTAAGAGTTCATTTCTGCTGCAAGAATTGATAACCTATTTTCAAGTTTCTTCGCCCTTTTAGCAATTACAAATCCAGAAAGTTTTACAGAAGACCAAACATTTATTAATATGATTTGTCTCTATGATCACGAAGAAGTAGGGTCTTAAAGTGCTCAAGGAGCTGACTCTTCATTATTGTCTAATAATATGAAGAGAATATATGATATCCTATCTAATTCAACCTAAACTTCTACTGATAGTTTTTATAAAGCTATACAAAAGAGTTTCTTAATTTCTTCAGATATGGCTCATTCTATTCATCCAAATTATTCAGACAAGCATTAATAAAACCATAGAGTTAAGATGAATGAAGGAATTGTTATCAAAATCAATCACAATTAAAGATATGCTACGGATGGTGTCTCGTCAGCAATCCTAAGAGTTGTGGCTTAATCTGCAGAAGTTCCAATCCAAGATTTCATTGTTAGGAACGATTCCCCTTGTGGCTCAACGATTGGACCATTATAAGGTTTAAAAATATATTATTATTTTAGCCTCAAATACAGGTATTAAGACTATTGATATTGGAGCTGCATAATGGGGTATGCATTCCATCAGAGAAACTGCTGGAGTTGTTGATGGTTATTATTTGGAAAAACTCTTTGTTGAATTTTACAGAAAATATGAAAAAATAGATCATAAGTTGCTTGGTATTTGAGTATTATTATGATTATTGAATAATTAAGAAATCCATATAATACATACACTCAAATCAAAGATAATCCTAAGCTATTATTCAAGATCTCATTCTACTCTTTTGCTCTACTCCTGTTATCACAGTTACCACCATTTGTATTATTCTTATTTATTTAGGCTTGTGTTTGTTTGATCATTAGTTATTTAACCGGAAAAAAGTTCTTTGAGATTTACTTTCATAAACACTTAAAAGAAGGAATTATGGAGATGTTTCCTCAAGGCATAAGAGATGCTCTGATGAAGAGATCAATTTTTGATCTTCTTTGTGACATATGGTTTATGCCCAAATTCTCATTGTATATTAGAGCATTCCTAAAGCCCTTTGTAGCCAATATTGATCCTGAAAATGTATAACATTCTCTCCTTATTATTTATAGGCTGAACAAGCCCTGGAAGGTCTACCCTTAGAAGACAGATAAATCATCACAAAAAAAGGAATAATCAATACTTTGCCTATGCTACTTTAAACTACGGTGGACACCACCTAACAATAGATTAATGACAGTGAAGTTCCTTAGACTCCTCACACTCCATCAAAGATTAAACAAAAAAAAACAAGATATGATAGAAAATAATATAATAGAACAAAATCTAAAAGAGTATTCAAAGAAGATAAAATTGTTTCCACCTTTAAGATGCCTTGGACTATTGTTAAAACATATGAAGAGGACAGAGCTTCTATTATGTCTTCACAATCAGATATTGATTTCTCAAATAAATAAAACTTTTCAATTGTAGAAGAAATGAAACCTCTACCATCACTTTAAGAAAATATTGGATTCAAAAATATAGAGCTAGTTCTTAAACCATAAACCAGTTAAGAATAGATCAAATGGGATAACCTAGATAATTTCTACAATTAAGTCAAAGACACTGTTCCAGGAAGTCATAAAAGTATATATTCAACATTAAATTCTTTAGGACCATTAGAAATGATATTGAAAATTACAAATCTAATTAATAATATAGTTCATTTTGAGAAAAGAAGCAAGTAAATTTTGGCTATCAATAATAATGCTTTAATTAAGGCCTTCATAATTTCTGCAGTAAATTAATATCAATATAATAAGGCTGCTTTGGCATTTTAATCATACATTTCTACTAGGACAAGAAGATTGATGATGCAAACTATAATGATTATTTGTTATTTAGGAAGTGCAGGAATAGCTACAGGAACTCTAGGTCTGTGTCTTGTTAAATTTGTTAATCAAAACAAAAAAAAAAGAAATTGAATAGAATTTAATTATTTTATTATTATATTATTTTGATGAGATAAAAAAATAACCATAACTTTTTTATATGATCACTTTAAATGTTAGGATTAGGATATAAATTAAATAAAAATTTTTAAATTTAAAAGAGAGAAACATATTATAATTTGATTCAAAAGTTATATTAAGTTAGTAAACTATATAAAAATTATTTTAATTTTGAGATTACTAATTAATTTTTCTATTAATGAAATATCATTCTATTCTTTCATGTTTTCAAACTTCAAAAAGGTCTGTTCTAGGGAATGCACTTTTTTCTGCATTTCTCATCGGAAGGAACCAATACTTAATATCAGGACCAAAGACCTCTTTATAGTTATCAATAATTCTAGGTTTTTTGAAAGGGTTCTAAGAGTATTTTCTATGTGTTATATACATTTGTTTTTATTTCATTAATGTGGTATTCAATAGTTGTAATGTTTTAAGCAATATGATATAAATGAAATCCCAAGAGAAATCCCATTACTAGTACTAAAGCAAAGCAAGTAACATTGCATATGGTTAAAATAAATTGCTAATTTTATGTGAGATCCTAGAAAATAGTTTAAATAAATTATACTTGTAATACAAACTTATCATTTACAAATAAATCATAAGAAATAAATAAAGTGCATTGGATCATGCACAAAATAGCATAGAAATTGAATTGACAAAAATATCTATGGTTTTTCAAGCCAACACAATTGTTCACCCAGGGACAATGATGATCCTAATTATTATAAATTTATTTACCATTCTTAATATGCATTTATTGCATTCTTTACAATGATGTGTTCTTGGTAATTTTATATTCTCACATTTAAAGCAGTATGAAACTAATTATAATACTTAAATAATATCGCTGGAACCATATTATAAAATTATTTTATTACAATTTCATCATCATTCTCATCATGAAATTCAATATTGTTTTACATTCTTCTTTATCTATGTTTATTAATTTTTTCAGTCATTTTTTTTGTTCTTTATTTGATATCTTCCAATGTTTTTTCATGATAATGTTTAGCCTATTTCTTTTGAAAAATAAATACTAAATCTTTTGGAGGATATCCTGGTTTGACATATTAAATCATGATGTAAGAGAAATTTAAGAAAATGAAAATTATTGTAAATTCTATTCCAATCAAATAAGAAACATGACCATGCTAATTTTAAGGAAAAACAAATTACTTTATTAAGGAATGCAGGTAGGAAGATAAATACAAAAGCATAATATTCACTGAAAATAATTCCATAAACAAGTATAACAGCTATGAAATCAGAATGTTAATGCTATCCTTAAAGCATAAATTATAAAGTTTTTATATAATATTAAAAATTAAATATTTTCCATTTGCAATAATAGATTTTTCTATATAAATAAATCATGTTATTACTGGAGAATGAAGGATGAACATTTGAATTGTAAGTTGAATTTTAGTAAATTTCATATTTTTTGTAAAATGGAAATTAAAAAGAATAATTGGAAATTGAATAGGATAAAATTATGAATTAGATTATATCTTTGTTAAAAGTAATGATATTGTATATATATTTATTATTTTTTATTTGAAAAATAATGGAGCCAGAGTAATTGATAGATTAATTAAATGATATATTGTTGGCAGACCATTTTAGGTTTATAGAAGTAATTGGGAAGGGAAGCTTTGGAGTAGTGGTGGCTGCGTTTTGTAGTAATTTAGATCGAGTTGTGGCAATAAAAGTTAATTTGATGTTAGAATATTATAGATTACATCAAATGTTGATTAAGAGAATGAAGCCAATTTACTTAAAGCTTGTTGTCATTAGAATATTGTCAAGCTTTATAAAGTACAATAATTATTTTTTATTATAGGTGTTAATAGCTAATAATCATCTTTATCTCATTATGGAAAGATTAATTGGTTTGACACTAGACAAACTGATGAAACAATCTATATTATCAGAATAAAACATTAGAAATTATATGACTTAAATTTTAAATGCTTTAGTATTTCTTCATAGAAAGAATATTATACATAGAGATCTCAAACCAGGTTAAACTAAATAATATAATAGAAAATATATTTATTTGTGAAAATTCCTGCGTTAAATTAATAGATTTAGGTTTAGGACAAGAAATTGTTTGTAAAGGATGTGTTTATTAATCAGTTGGTACTCCATATTTTATAGCCCCTGAAGTCATTTTAGGAAAGGATTAAAGTCAGGTATGTAATTATCTTATTTAATTTAGGCTGTTGACATATTTAGTTTAGGTATTATCTTCTATATGATGATCAACAATTTATAACATCCTTTATGGGATGGATAAATGAGAAAAAGACATTATTACTAATTGATATCTAATGAATTTTCAATTTCTTTTCCAAAAACAATGCCTGAGTATTCCATATAAATCATATATTTAGAATGGCTAAAGATTTTGTCTTAAATACAGTATAATTTAGGGCAGAAAATAGAATGACAGCATAGTAATGTTTAGAACATCCTTGGATTAAAGGAAAAGGTGTTAAAACACATCCTATGACTACAAGAGAGATCATGTTAAGATACAATATTTAATAAAAGCTATAACATGTCTTTTTATTGTTTATTATTATTAGATAATTAAATCATTGATGTTTTTAAAGACTCTTCAATAAACATGTGAAGAAGAGATTTGCTATATCAAAACAAACAATTCTCCTTTAAGAGAAGAAAAGGAATAAGATCTTGAAAATGCTAGATTAAGTGTTGAATTAACAAATAAAAAATAAAAGTCATTCAAATTAAATGTAATTCCTTTAAAAAAAGTAAGTTCATATAAAGATTTAGTATCTTTGAGGGAAAAATAACTAAATCAAAAGAAATATTAAAGTATAAACATTTATTTTAATTAGATATGATAACAAGGTTTAGAGAAAAATTGTCTTTGGGTAATCAACTAAATGCCATTGGGCATCATAAGTTTGATTCTCCAATGAGTCATCGAAAATTAACTACTTTACCTTCAATTAATACTAATAGGTTATAAAGATAATCAACTTTTAATTTTTAAAATTTGTGAAGTGCTTTTTTTTTAAATTATCAATAAGAAATCAATTTTACTTTAATCTATTCATAATTTCATCTGCCTCTTATGCTTTAGTTTCATCATAAGGAATATAATAATTAGATAATCTTGATTAAGGATTACTCATTGGTTTATTTTATTCTCTAAAGATATTCATAGATTTAATGATCTCTTCATTATCCATCTCAATCTATATAATCATTTTCTTAATATCATTATTTATAAAGAATAATTCAGTATTATCTTATTTCAGCAATTTAAAATTTGCTTACATCTTTGCATTTTCTAATTTCAATTTATCTATTTATTATTATAATTCAGTATGTTTATGATTATCAACTCGTAAATTTAAATTAGAAATTTCAGTGATTAAATTATCCACATTATTTCTAACTATTTAATATTACTAATACACTTCTTACGGTTATTATTATTCTTAATTTGTTTATGATATTGTTTTTATAGCTGATTTCATTTATATAGATGATTCTTCTTTCTTATTTTATTAGAATGACTGATTCTAACTTTAATCATCTTTTATTCTAGGAACTTTTGAAATTATTTCTTTGAATTACTCATCTGAATTGTAAATTTTTTCATTTTGAATTAATACCTTACTAATATTCAATTTTAAAGTGTCCAATTTATCTTTCTCATTCATAGTTAATTAATTTCCTTCCTCTAATCTATTTATTATTAGTTCTAATTATTTTCCATCCTATTCCAATCGTTATTTATTCTTATCAATCATTTATACTATTGTTGTTGATTTTCCTTTATCCAAACACATTTTAAGTATTTCAATTTCTGCTCTAAGCTACAATTTCAATTTGTTTAGAGATTATAGCATTTATTCAAAAATCAATTAATTTATAACAATAATTTATACTCTCTATCATTGTTTTATATGATTTCCAACATTTTATTTTGCCAAAGCTAACTCTTTTGATAGGACTTGTTCTTCTCTCAAAATCTTAATCAAATTTGAAAATCCTCTCTTTGTAATAACACTNTAATTCCTTTAAAAAAAGTAAGTTCATATAAAGATTTAGTATCTTTGAGGGAAAAATAACTAAATCAAAAGAAATATTAAAGTATAAACATTTATTTTAATTAGATATGATAACAAGGTTTAGAGAAAAATTGTCTTTGGGTAATCAACTAAATGCCATTGGGCATCATAAGTTTGATTCTCCAATGAGTCATCGAAAATTAACTACTTTACCTTCAATTAATACTAATAGGTTATAAAGATAATCAACTTTTAATTTTTAAAATTTGTGAAGTGCTTTTTTTTTAAATTATCAATAAGAAATCAATTTTACTTTAATCTATTCATAATTTCATCTGCCTCTTATGCTTTAGTTTCATCATAAGGAATATAATAATTAGATAATCTTGATTAAGGATTACTCATTGGTTTATTTTATTCTCTAAAGATATTCATAGATTTAATGATCTCTTCATTATCCATCTCAATCTATATAATCATTTTCTTAATATCATTATTTATAAAGAATAATTCAGTATTATCTTATTTCAGCAATTTAAAATTTGCTTACATCTTTGCATTTTCTAATTTCAATTTATCTATTTATTATTATAATTCAGTATGTTTATGATTATCAACTCGTAAATTTAAATTAGAAATTTCAGTGATTAAATTATCCACATTATTTCTAACTATTTAATATTACTAATACACTTCTTACGGTTATTATTATTCTTAATTTGTTTATGATATTGTTTTTATAGCTGATTTCATTTATATAGATGATTCTTCTTTCTTATTTTATTAGAATGACTGATTCTAACTTTAATCATCTTTTATTCTAGGAACTTTTGAAATTATTTCTTTGAATTACTCATCTGAATTGTAAATTTTTTCATTTTGAATTAATACCTTACTAATATTCAATTTTAAAGTGTCCAATTTATCTTTCTCATTCATAGTTAATTAATTTCCTTCCTCTAATCTATTTATTATTAGTTCTAATTATTTTCCATCCTATTCCAATCGTTATTTATTCTTATCAATCATTTATACTATTGTTGTTGATTTTCCTTTATCCAAACACATTTTAAGTATTTCAATTTCTGCTCTAAGCTACAATTTCAATTTGTTTAGAGATTATAGCATTTATTCAAAAATCAATTAATTTATAACAATAATTTATACTCTCTATCATTGTTTTATATGATTTCCAACATTTTATTTTGCCAAAGCTAACTCTTTTGATAGGACTTGTTCTTCTCTCAAAATCTTAATCAAATTTGAAAATCCTCTCTTTGTAATAACACTCCCACAAACTAAACCTATGGACACCATTAATAAAGTCACACTCCCATCCATTAATTCCTTGACTTTTCTATTTGATCTCAAATTGGAAGATTGCAACTTTAACTTTATTATGTCATTAAAAAATAACAAGCTCTATAATCCAAAAGAGAATCCAAAACAAATTGTAGCCATCCTTGGAAATATTAATGAAAATGGTAATGCAAATGGATACAAATAATACAAATTTGGTACTGTACATGAATGCTTAAACTCTTACAATCTGATACTTATATTAAATGTACTTATAGAGTGTTTTAAATTAAACATATTATTTAATATCCCTAGCATCTATTTCTGAATTTAACATATTCATATCCTTATTACCTATGATTTTCATTTCATTTTTGATTTAATCATTTATTTGTTTACCTGTTTTTGAATAATCAAAATATAAACTAAACATTTGTTATTCAAAACCAATCATTCCCAAATACAAAATAGGCATTAAAGTATTTTAATTCATTTTATTTTTATTATATATTCTTAATTAAAGAAAATACATATATAATCAAAAAGTAATATTATTATGATCTAATAAGTTCTCTCTAGATAATTAAATAATGAATGATTTATATTAGTATAATAAAATATTGCTATTATATTATGTATGAAGTATAGAAATAATAATAATATAAACTTAAAACTAATTTGAATGTCTATAATTATTCAGATACATGAAAAAGTTACTTTATATCCACGAAGATAAATAAATTTATAATTTAAATAATGTTTATTTTTAGGTCATAGATTTTATGATTTATTATGATACTTCCTAATGATATAGTTATATAATTTTAATAAAGTCTTAGTGGGTTAAGGAATTATGATTTACATGAATTTCCAGGATAATAATAAAAAATTTGATTGCTTACACTTGAACATAGTTATTTTAATTCAACCCTACATGCTCTAACATAAATATTAAGATCCTTAATCAAAAGTGCCAACTCAAAGTAATACTATGATTATGATCTATTGCCATGGTTAACTTTTTGACTAATTGAATTATATGGGTATTCTTAGCCGATTTGTTCTAATAATCACGAATCGTACTTAGATAAGTAATAATGTTAGATGAACTTATTAACCTATTAATCTGTCTTGAACTAATTCAGCTAAAATTTTTGAATATGAATCCTCTTTTTTTAATAACTATTTATTTAATAGAATTTTTATATTGATTAAGAAGTTTGAGAGAGTGTTAAAAATAAAAATCAATTAATTGATTTATATGCTTAGTTTCTATCAAACTTTCTAAATAATGTTCAGAAATATAATTAAAGCCTAATTGTATTTCTACATCTGACTTTATGTAAATATGATATTTAAATGAATTCAGCATTAAACTATAAAAATTAAATTGTATAAATGCTTATTATTTATGATTTTGTTTAACTAATTGATTATATTTATTTAAATAATTACTCTTTTTTTTAACTATCATTCTTTGATTATATAGAAAGACTAATTGACTCATCATATATATATTATTATGTTTAATGACTATTTATTCTTAGTTTATTTTGATTATTAAATATAGAAATACTTGAAATCATTACTCACATAAGTTTCTAATTATTTACATTTACTTATATAATTATTGTTATTATTATATAGTATATATATATATATATTATCAATTATTTGACTTTTAATTCATTGGATAATGCATTAAATCAATAAAATTGACAATAATGGTTTGATTAATTGATATTAATTGATATAAGCTATTTAATTTTTTCCTTATTTTTGATTGGCCGATTAGAAATGAAAAAAGATTAATTGGGATTTATATTTGTAATAAGGCGGGTTTGAAACATTATTAAATAAATCAAAAATCAAATGTCATCAGGAGGAAAAGGAAAAGCAGGAAAGGGAGGAAAAGCAGCTGGAGCTCATAAATCAGTTTCCAGATCACACAAAGCTGGTTTATAATTCCCAGTCGGAAGAGTTTCAAGATATTTGAAATAAGGAAGATACACAGAAAGAGTTGGTGCTGGAGCTCCAGTTTATCTTTCAGCTGTTTTGGAATATTTGGCTGCTGAAGTTTTAGAACTTGCTGGAAATGCTGCTAAAGATAACAAGAAAAATAGAATTAATCCAAGACATATTCTTTTAGCTATTAGAAACGATGATGAATTAAACAAATTAATGGCCAACACAACTATTGCTGATGGTGGTGTTTTACCAAGCATTCATCCATAATTATATCCATCAAAAGAAGATCCAAGTTAAGCAGTTTGAAAATGTTTAATTTGTTTTACAATTAACATATACAAATTTATTTTAATAATTCTAGACTCTAATGTATTGATCAAATAAATAAATGAACTTGAATATTGATAAATCAATTCTTTTTTGATGTATGTGCAATTTTTACAGATTTTTATGCTGCATCATCTAAATCTGTTGCAGTTGTAATTGATACTTTAGTTTATGATTTGGCAAATTCATCTAACATCTTGGCGCCTTTTAATTATTATTAATTTATTACCTTATTATGAATTTGTTCCTGTTAATCTTACTACTAATGGTGTCTTTAAATCAACCAATTAAGCTGCTTTAATAATACCTTCAGCAATAATGTTGCATTTCATAATACCACCAAATATATTAATAAGAATTGTTTCAACCTTTGGATGTGAATTCAATATTTCAAATGCTGTCTTTACTTATTCTACATTTGCACCACCTCCTACATCTAAGAAATTTGCAGGTTCTCCACCATATAATTTTATTATATCCATTGTAGCCATTGCCAAACCAGCTCCATTAACCATACAACCAATATTTCCATCTAATGCAACATAATTCAATCCTGCTGCTAATGCTAATTCTTCATGTGGATCTACTTATTCTGATGCAACTGATGTTTTTCTTAATTCAACCAATTCCTTTTATCTAAATTTAGCATTGTCATCAACATTAATTTTAGCATCAATACAAAATAATTGATTTTTTGGATCTGTTGCCCATGGATTGATTTCTACTTAAGTAGCATCCAATGAAATAAACATCTTATAAAGATTTCTCAATTATTCAATTGCTTATTATCTAACAGATTATAATTAAAGAGTGTCAACAACTTTATTAGCAATTTGATCAGTCAATCCTGTGTTTACATCAATTGGTAACACAATAATACTATTTGGATCTGTCTTTGCTACTTCTTCAATTTCCATTCCACCATTAATTGAAGCAACAATAGCTGGCTTTTATGAATTTCTATCCAATATAAATGCTAAATATAATTGACGTACTATATCCACACCTTCATGTACAAGTACTGCATTCACTTATAATCCCTATATTATTATATATTAATCAATACTTCTTTTGGTGTCTAATGTGTTACCAATTTATATCCAATCATTTATTTTGTATAGTTGGCTACTTCTTCTGGAGTTTTGCAGATTTTTACTCCTCCCTTCAATCCACTTGATAAAGTTCCTTAAATTAATGTTTATTCATACCTTTTCCTCTTCCACCAGCATGAACTTATGATTTAAGAATCAAACCACCACTTGGATCTAATGTTTTTGCTACTTTGGCAGCTTCATCAGCATTCAATGCGATTGCTCCTTTTTACACTCTGACATTGAATCCTCTCATCAAGTCTTTACTTTGATATTCATGAAGATCAAAACATTTAACAACTTTGTGTTACAATGCAGCCAACCTCGTAATACGATTGAACATTTATTTTAAATCTTTTTATTTAATCAAAGCACAATAACTAATCACTTAATATAAACTATTTTTAGGATTCATTTAAGCAACCTATATATATTCTCCTCTTAGGAATCAGATAAATCTAATAAATAATAACAAAAGAAAAATGTATAATCAAAGAAAACTATTTTTATGTCATTTCCTAATATAATTTGATCTTAAACTTTATTATTATATTGGATTCTTGAAGTTAAAGTAAACTGATTTGAAATGAAGTAAATTATATTTTACTTCTAGATCTTGATTTTCTCTTTCCATTAATTATTATTCAGCTTTTAAAGTCATTCCTGGATCATGTTCAATGATACCTTCAAAAGTAGAAATCCTAGCTATTTAATTATTATGTTGCTGTATTTTTATGTCTTCATGCATATCACTAATAGAGTATCCTACTCCTATACTAAAGACACTTCCTTAATTAGTAATTGCACTAAATTGCATTGCACTACTTCCATGATCTGAAGATCCTACTAATTCATCCTAAGCACAAAAGGTTTTTAAATTTTAAGGAACTAAATTTTCACCCAAAAATCCTCTAAAATTTATATTATTACTTAAATTACCTTCTAATTGTACAACAACTTTTATATTTTGAATTTTAATTGCTTTTTGATCTTTTATTGCTTTTCTACTTATGGGATTTGCTTTTTTAATTAGTCCAATCAAGTCCTTAATCTGGAAAGTTATGTAATTTTGTTAGAAACAATCCTCTCAACATTGCATATTGTGGCTTTTATTATTAAGACAATAATTTTACATATTTCATATACCTAAGATTTTTTAATTGAGAATTACTTTAATATAGAATTTGGACATTCTGAACATAATTCTTCAATTGTAATTTCTGATTTTAATTTTCCTATTTTTTCCAATCTTTATACATCATTTTTTTCAATATTCATCCAAGGCAAACTTTATTTCATTAAATATATTAATATATAGCCTAATGATTCTAAATCATCCTTTGCAGATTATTCAATTCCTTAATGAGCAGCTAAACTTGCATATCTACTAGTGCCAATAAAGGAAAACTTCTTTTTCTAATTTACTTTTAAATTGATATTTCTAGATATTCCATAATCGATAAGATAGATCTTATCACTATCAGTTTTACTTAAAATATTTTCTGGTTTCAAATCTCTATGTATTATATTTCTAAAAATTAATTAATTTAATCACCTTTAATGTATTTGTTCCAAAATCCACAGCATTTAAAAGGCAATGTTGTATATACATTATGTTGAGAACTTCTAATATTGTTTTTAAAAATATATTAGGTCATGTCCTAGTAAATTGGTTATCATGACGTTGCATTTGTTGAATTGACCATACCAATATAATTCAGGAATCTATGAAACTCCTTACAGTAATTTCAATATTTCAATCTAATTTCACAAATTATTTTACTTCTCTATTTAGACTACTATAACTTGCCATTTCTTGTTTTTCTATCTTTATTGCTACATTTTTGTTTGTCTTCATACATTTTCCAACGTAAACTATTCCAAATGAACCTTATGATATTTTTTTTATTAATTCATATTGATTATCAATAACATCTCCTTATTAAATTTAGTTCATTAATTTATTAATGGAAAGAGTTGATGATATATTTTTATAATCAATATTTTTATATAAATTAAATTAAGATGAACTTTATTAAACATCTTTAATCATTACTACTTTAGTTTATTGAATAATTTTATTTTTATAAGATAAAAATATTTGATA